ACATTGATGGAAAGTTAAAGGAGACTGTTGTTGGTGTGGATGAAGATAATGATGGATTGAATGATCCAAGTGTCATTGTGGAACAAAGTAATGCTGGATTGAATGATGCAAATGTAGGGGTGGAAGCAACAAATTTTGAAGTGGAGCCTGTTGAAGTGGAACCAGATACTGGTGGTCAGGTGCACGAAGAATTCAATTCTGAAGACAGTGAGGATGAGAGTTACCAGTATGATAGTTCCCTAGAAGTAGCCTTTGAAGAAGAATCTGATGGTTATGAGGACATTGATGAAAATGAAATTGCAGACTTGACTTTGTATGACAGTAATGAAATATCAAAAGGAAAAGGCAAAGGAAAAGGAAAGTGCAGCAAAGTTACAGAGGAATATAAGGGGAGTGACAATGACAGTGAGGATCTTCAAAGTGGTTGTGACAGTGATGACAGTAGTGGGGCGAAAAGGAATAAATACCCAATTTTCAAAGAGATAAAAGATATGGCCAATTACAAATTGGAATTAGGAATGTATTTTACTTCAAAGGATGTCATTAAGGAAGCAATTGCATCGTATGCTGTTCAAAATGGAAGAGCCCTCAAGATCATAAAAAATGATAAGAAAAGGGTGAGGGTGAGGGTGAGATGTAAGGAAGGTTGTGAGTGGGAGGTTTATTTTGCCAAGTTATTAAATGAGGAAACCTGGAAAATAAAGAAAATAATTGACAATCATAACTGTAACAGGGAGTATAATGTGAGGATGTTAAGCACAAAATGGTTGAGCAAGAGAATTCAGAATGCATTGAAAAATAACCCTAGGTTGAAGGTCCATGATATTAAAGAAAAGGAATTGAGGAAGTGGAATGTAGGTGTAAACAAGACTAAAGCAATAAGAGCAAGAGTGGCTGCAAGGAATAGGGTTGATGGTTCCTTTTTGGGTGATTACACTAGGATATATGACTATTGTCATGAACTGCTGAGAGTCAATCCAGAGTCAACAGTTAAGATGAATGTTGAACCTGCTCTAGAAGGTGTTGATGATCAGAGACCCTTTTTTAAAAGGCTTTACATATGCTATGAAGGATGCAAGGAAAGTTTCAAATTATGTAGGGATGTGATAGGATTGGATGGTTGCTTTTTGAAGGGGCTTTGTGAAGGTGAAATTCTGGCAGTTATAGGAAGGGATCCTAATGATCACATGCTTCCCATAGCACTTGCGGTTGTTGAAGGTGAAAGTAGAGATATCTAGACATGGTTTTTGAAGCTACTGATTGATGATCTGGGGGGTGGACATGAATGTCGCTCATACACTTTCATTTCAGACCAACAAAAGGTACACTAAATACTTTACAACATATTTACATTTATCTTATTGTTTTCTTGATAATTTACTATTAGTTATGAATCTATTTTACAGGGACTTTTACCTGTAATGGAAGAGTTTCTGCCCAATGTTGAACATCGATTTTGTGTTAGGCATCTGTATAACAATTTCAGGAAGATGTATCCTGGAAAAATATTCAAGGATCTTATCTGGAAGGCTGCTAAATCTACATACTCACAAGCTTGGGAAAGAGAGATGAGGGTAATGAGAATGATCAGTGGAGAGGCATATCTCCATATGATGAAGACTCCACCAAGATATTGGTCTAGATCATATTTTAGGAATACCAACAAGTGCGATGCTATGCTCAACAGTATGTCAGAGGCATTTAATAGTGTTATTGTTGAAGCTATGGCTAAACCACTAGTAACAATGCTAAAGGAGATCAGAACTTACATGATGGCACTGGGGAGAAATTGAGAAGGAGAAACCTTGAGCAAGGGGAGATTGATGGAACTGACAGAAAATTGAGAAGAACTGGTTTTATTGTAAAGTGTTCTAGGTGCAAGAAAACTGGACATAACAAGAAAACCTGCAAAGTCAATGCAACACAAGGCACTGCATCTCAAACCACTGCAGCTCAAGGCAATGCAAGTCAAGCCAATACATCTCAAACCATTGCAGCTCAAGGCAATACAAGTCAAGCCAATGCATCTCAAACCACTGCAGCTCAAGGCAATGCAAGGCAAGCTAATGCATCTCAAACCACTGTAGCTCAGGGCAATGCAAGGCAAGCCAATGCATCTCAAACCACTGCAACTCAGGGCAATGCTAGGTAAGCCAATGCATCTCAAACCACTATAGCTCAAGGCAATGCAACTTAAAACAATGCTACACAAGGCAATGCAACTCAACCCACTTCAGCTCAAGTCAATGCAAGGCAAGACAACACAACTCAAGACAGTGCAACACAAGGCAATGCAATACAAGGCAATGCAGCTCAAGGTAAGGCAAGGCAGGGCAAGGCAAGGCAACACAAGGCACTGTAAGGAAAGGCAATGCAAGTCACATTGGGACCAATGCAAGTCATATCGGGACAATAAAAGTTCATGCATCTCAAACCACTGCAAGTCAGGTTGCAACAATACAAGCATCAGTTGCATAGGGTTACATGAACACAACTCATTCTTCATAAGGAAAAATCAGTACCAGGGCAAGGCACAAAGAAGAAAGCTACAAAAACTAGGTGTGAGAAGGCCCTTTGTACCCCTAAGACCAACAACAAGACTCCCAACAGCCAATAATACAACTGGTCCTACCACCAGGCGATCTACTCCAACCAAGAGAAGCACATCAAAGAGGACCATTTAGTTATAATTTTAGGATTTGTGTATTTGGGAACATGTCTATGTAACATGTCATTCTGTCAACCTTTTGAAACAAGTCTATGTAACATGTCAGTATTTTGGAACATACTTATGTAACATGCCAACTACATATTTTCAGTTTAATTAATCTGATGTGTTCATTTACTGATAAAATGTGCCCAAAATTATGTTGCTACAATTAACGATATGCCAAACTGATATGCTTTGATTAATGATATGTCAAACAAAATAAATCTTATTAAATTGATAACATGTGTTAAAATTACACATAAGCTTGCACATAAATTTCTCAAACTGATAAAATTACATACAAATTACTACATACTCCTACTTCTAATACAGCTTAATGAAAAATACACATAACACTACAAAACACAGAATCTTCAATGTTTTTTCCACTTCAACATTTTATTGAGTTGAATTTGAAGTTCTAACACAGCATCTTCTAATTCTTCATTTCTAACCCTCAATTTTTCGTACTGATTGTTGGTTTCATCTAAATCATTTGTTATGCTTTCCAATCTATTTCTCAATACTAGGTTTATGTCTTCTGCCAATTCCTCTGCCAATTCCTCGTGACACCAATGGAAGAAGCCACATGCAACGACAAAGTGGTGCAATTTGCGAGCTACTGTGTACACATGATCCAACACTTTCAAATTGACAAAGGTACTTTGGAGAAGATGAATGCTTTGTATTCATGGAGAAAGGGAAGAAGATGAAGAAAGTACAATTTTTTTGGGGAATGAGAACGTTAACAAAATTTTGTGAAGGTGATTTTGAACCAATGTGAAATATGTTTTCTGTATATAAAAAAGATTAAGAAATCTGACAGCTCACCTGCCACCTCACGCAAATAAACAGACGTTGGAGGCCAATTAACGTGGTTGTGTTTTGAAACTTAAAGGACCATTTTGACAGGAAAAAAAAGATAAGGAATCAAAGTGAACCATGACACATAGTTAAGGGATCAAAATAAATATTTTGTCTTTTATTTACAATAAAGAAATAGAGAGAAAAAATTAAAATTAAAATTAAAAATGATGGAAAAAAGAAATGTAAGAGAAACTTATGATTTTAATTTAGAAAGAGAATGTGTATATGTAATATTTAATTGTGATTTAATTTTTAAAGGTGGGAGCACAATTATATTTAAATGCATATTAAGAGTAATTGCATTTGTATCATAAAAGACAAATAATTAATTGATCCCTCGGAGAAAAAAAATCCAAATTACTCAAAAACAATATTATCAGTTCTACTTAAAAATTAATTTTTAAATTTTAAATAATTCTAGGGATGTATTTGTAAAGAATTAACAAAAAATCAAATTACTCAAAAAACTATATCAACAGTTGTACTTCAAAATTAATTTTAAAAATTTTAAATAAATTTAGAGATGTAATTGTAAAGACTTAACAAAAAAATAACCAAATAATTTTGGGTAAGTTTGAATTTCAAAATGAGGGTTACTTGTATGTCACAAAGAAAATTAATGTTGGAATTACACTAAAATCATCAAATCATTTTCCAATTTATTTTCTATATTAAAAATTACTTTATTATCCCAAAATCAAAATGTTTAAGTTAACAACTTTAGTAGCCATGTATCCAACAATCATTTTTAAAGAATTGATAACTAAATTATACTATTTCCATTGTCTAACAGGTATCATTTTTACTGCCTTTTCTATTTCAACTTATACAAATATAAATAAGGAGTTCTAAACTTCAACCACTTCAGAGAAAAACATTATCATAATGATAAAAAAATATTGTCTATTGCCACGTGATTCATTAACTTAAATAGTTATAGAAGTAAAGCGTTAACCTTTTCAATTAGCCCTCCATTCAAAGCAGCATATGAAAAAAAGAACCAAGAAAAACGCAGAATATAGAAAGTGCTATAGTTATGAAAAAAGAAAAAAAAACAATGAACATTAAAGTGAGACGCAATGTATATGCATGTTTAATGAGATATTTAGTGTAGGTGTGATGGAATATGCAGGTGAGATGATGGAATAAAGAGAAGTTAATCTTTAGAAGCATAAATATTTGAAAAATACTAATTTGAGTCATTAACATTTATGATAAAAAAATAAAGAGAAAAAGTATAAAATATCAGTCAATCACATTTAGAAGTGACATATCACATTTTTATTCAAGGAAGATAAACTGTAGATTCTCATGCTCACCAAAGATTTAGAAGTTACAGCAAAAGCAAAAGCATGATTACAAGTTACAGAAAAAGTAACTTATTTTACATCAACATGTCCAAAAGTTTTTAGGCAAATAAATATCACATTGAAACAAATGCATTTTCAGGTAATCCTAGCAACATTGCATCCACACATTCTTGCTGAGGGGAATGTTCAGTAGCTAGACTCTCCCAATCATGCACCTGCTTTGCTTTAGTATTCTCAAAAGTTTTGGATTTGGATACAAAGGCCAGAGCAAAAGGGCCAAATTGATAGTTTGTTGAAGTCTGCTTTCTATCTTCCTGACCAAGGCCACTATCATTTTTTATCAGGATTCTCTGTAATACTATGAATGATGTAGCTGCAATTTAACACAATGAATTACAGTGCAGTCCCTCAACAAATGACAACAGTATCAAGAATCAATTCAAGCGGTTAATTTAAAGAATCACAGGAAAAAAGTAAATAGAATATAGAATCAATTTCATATCATCATCTTCACTCTCAGTTTCAGTATCAACTTCATCTTCACTAAAATCATTCACCTTAGGCTTAATATTAAACCATTTTTTCATCACAAAAGAAGGCCAAAAAGCCTACAATAAAATGAATTTGAACAAAAATCAGCAACCTATTAATAAGTTACTCAAAATCAACTTTTGTTTTCAAAGCTTACCTCTGATCTTTTTCCTCTTCTTCCCCCTTCATTGTTTCAAGTCAAAGAGTCTATAACCAAACATTATTAAGCATTATAAAACATTATTAATAGTAACTTGATCCAACTAAACAAATGTCATTGTCATTAAACACTTGTATAACAATTTCTGAAACATAATTATCACTGTTAAGTAGTAGAAAATTCTCATATTCAATCAATCAATTAGGTTATGACAAATACATATTTTGATAGAAAAAGAGTGGAAAATGTGGCATGACCCTACATATTATTCTTATCTACCCATATGATTCTTATCATCACTCTCTTTATTTCATTTGGTTTGAACTTGGGGAAGAACTCTGCAACTCGCTTCCATATGAGACTGATAACAAACTCGTCCGAATCAGTGTTGAACCCAACAAACTCCCGGCTGCAATCATATAACATCACACTGAAATTGACAAGTCTGTAGATAAAGAAAGATGTAAATTTATACTTATGTATACAGGGGAAAAATAAATCTCAAATCTGAAACACATAAATAACAAAAACCGAAACAAAATCACAATCTCAAAACTGAATCAAAATCACAAAAAATAATCAATGCCAGAACGAAAGAAGGAAAAAAAAACCAGAACACAGACCTGTTGACCCAATTTCTTCTTCACCTGCTTCCTTTTTCTCATTCTGCTGAAACCCTAGCTCATTCTTCATTCTTCATCATTTTTTAGAAAGAAGGGAATGAATCCTCTGGTCTTGAATTGAAGAAAAGTGATGGAAATTAAGGGGCTGCGGTGGGCTAGGGTTTGGAAAAGGAAAGAGAGAAGACGAGAAAGGGAGGCGAAGATGAAGAGAGAGGGGTAGTGCTATTTAGTATCAATCAAATTAGATAAGAAATACTATAATAGACAGATGTCAGATGAATTTGTAATTTGTTTAAAATTTAACTTCTGTTTTAATAAAGATCATGGGATGATGGTAGAGAGAGAAAAATTTAAAATGATAGGGATAGTAGTGAAAAGTTGAAGAAATGAAAAGTAATGTAATCGGACAATAGGTTAAACTCTCTAATGGTGTGTACTCACGAAATTTTGAAAAAAATGAGTGTCACTTAGAACTATGGAAAAAGCCGATTGATTGGAATATAATTTAATTAAGAAAATTACAATTAAGAACATTTCATGAGAATGTGACACTTGGAAAACTTTTCATATGTGTAGCCTTCAAATTATTATATTGTTTTACTATTTTATATCATAACACGGGTGGGGAATAGGACACTAAATCTTGATCAAAGTATGATGTAGTTGGGCAGCAGATGAATTCAGTAGAAGTTCATATTCTCTATTCCAAAACACAAAGTTACAACTGCTGTCTCCGTGGAAACTTGAATTTCTATCTTGTACCTACAATGTCATGATGTCATGAGTTAAAAAATATAATGACATAAATAAACAAAAATAAGCTTTAACAACCACTACATATATTAAAGGATAAGACCTAAAGATTTCAGCCTCAGTTGAATGACCAACATCACAGTCAAACGGCAGAGTGTCACCACGTGTAATGCAAGGACATAGATGGCAGGTACGGTAACACCACCCAAACGGAGATGCAATTAGAATCCTCGTTTCAGCAACAGTGGCGCAAAAAGTAATTTGAATTAATAGCCCACACTACGCCAAAAACTGCTTTTTGCAGCGCCTCTACTAAAGCGCTTATTGAAAAAGCGCTGCCATAGCCTTCACAAAAAACAAAATTAAAAAAAAGGGAAACCTACGAAGGCGCTTTTTTAAAAGCGCTGGCATAGGTGGGGGATACGAAAGCGCTTTTTACATTAAAAGCGCTGTGGTAGGTCAAATAAAAATATTAATAAAAACGAAATAATAGGGTTATGAAGGCGCTTTTTAAAAAGCGCTGTGGAAGATTGGCCTTTGAAAGCGCTTTCAAAAGCGCTGGCATAGGGTTTGATGCTACTAAAGCGCTTTTTAGGCTAAAAGCGCCGTGGTAGCTCAAATATCAAAATTAAATAAAATGAAATATTGAACAGCACAGTTCAGAATACCCACGAAACCCAAAACGAAATATCAGAACGAAGCCCTGTTCATCGTCTTCTCCATCTCACCCTCGCCGGCACGAAGCTTTTCAGCACCGTTCATCATCTCACCCTCGCCGGCACGAACCTTATCAGCACCGTTCATCAACTCACCCTCGCCGGCACGAAGCTATTCTCGTTTTTGTTCTGATTCCTCATCCTCGCCGGCACGAAGCTTTTTTCGTCTAGAGTCGTATCAAAAGGTATGTTTCAAAATCCTTGTCATTCATACATTGCTTCTGTTCGATTTGTCTGTGTTGTCGGGAATCTTGTTTTGTATCTTGCACGCAAACTGTTCGATAAAATGAGGAATATTGTCCGTGGCTTCCAACTGATGTATTACTGCCTAATCTCCTTCAATATCTAAAATTGGAATTTTATATAAAAGTTACTTATGAAATTTTATAGCCATCCGAGTTGGAGCGAGGAGCATCAAAGAGGCGCACTGCAGAGACATTGCTTAACAAGAGAAGCAGGTAGTTTTGTTGTGTTTTAATTTTGTTGTTGAAATTTATGTTAGTTGAAGCTATTTATATGAATGTATGTTGGTGCAGCCGTTCTCATTCAGTGTTCACCATTACTGTCTATGTGAAAGAAACTGTGATTGGAGATGAGGAGTTGATTAAGCGTGGCAAGCTTAATCTTGTTGATTTGGCTGGATCAGAAAATATATTGCGTTCCGGAGCACGTGAGGTAAAAGAAAAATTTATGATTTACTACTTTTGATAATTATTTGTGTCAGGTAATTTCTCTAGAAAAAGTTATGGTTAACTATCCTAAGTAGTAAGAGTCATCTTTACATACTCAGGCCCAATTTGGATTAACTTTTGGCTTATAGGAGATTTTCAACTAAAACAAGCTTACTGTGATTCACATAATGAAAAGTTTATGCTCATAGATGTTTATGAAGTTACCGGAGAAAGTTAAGTTTCGGAACCAGTATTAAACTGTACTAGAAATTATTATTTAAAAAATTCAGTTTTTGCAAGTCTTTCTAATGTTTTCTTTCCTCTTATTTATAAGTTGTATGCCTGATGTTAATTCAGGACAACGTGATGTTAGAAAGTGACATAACTTGGTTTTCTCCTGATTTTGGTTCTTTGTTTGTCTCGACTATATGTGAATTAAATGGTTCCGGTTGATCTTACATTAAGTTTGCAACAATATATGACTACAGGGCCGTGCTAGAGAAGCAGGGGAGATAAACAAGAGCTTACTCACCCTTGGGCGTGTGATAAATGCCCTTGTAGAACATTCTGCCCATGTGCCTTACAGGTTTATATTAACACGGTTTTCAATTATTATTAGTTATTATTAAAACATTTACTGTAATATGCATGCTACTTGGCTGTTTGTTATTTCAGAGACAGTAAGCTTACAAGGATTTTGCGAGACTCCTTAGGAGGGAAAACTAAAACGTGCATAATTGCTACTATTAGCCCATCTGCTTATTGCTTGGAAGAAACAATGATCATAACGAGGGTATTTGGATCAATCCAACTATTGGATCAATCCAACCATCCGAGTTGTTAACAGAAGCGTAAAATATATTGCTATCAAGAAAAGAAAGAGACGTTAGTGAAAAAGGTATTATTATAATTATAGCCTAATATTGTAAGTAATATGTGAATAATGTTTTGAATTTTTGGCATATCTTTTGAACCGTTTTGAATTTTTGCGAATGTGACTAGTGTTTATTTAGTAGAACAATGTTTCCGGAGCTGATGGTGAGGTTTATTTCTTGCAAGTTTGGTTTTTTAGCATTTTATTCAATTTTGAGTTCCTTTAGTGCTATTCATATCTTTTTCGACTATCCATTTTCATGTAGTGTACTAATGTGCTTGTTTGACTTTTGTTACAGGTCTAATGGCTAGCAATGAAAAAAACCCGCAAGGAAACCAACAAGAAAACCCACCAGGAAACCAACAAGATCATGAAAACTCACAAGAATCAAATCATGCAGCGGATGATACTTCAGTAAATGATGTTGCACGAGGCATCACCATAATGCGCGAAATCATTCGTGCTAGAGATAAGGGAGTGATATATAATGTAGATTGGAATCATTCAAATCAAGTAGTTGGGATTAATGCTTCAAAATTCACAAGCTACGTTGGTACACTTGTTCGTATGCATGTGCCAATCTCCATATCTAGATGGAATGAGAAACAATGTGAAGCATTGAAGCAAGGAAAAGAAATATTTTGGGAAGATGTTAAGGTATGTATGTTATATGGTTTATATGGTTATATGTTTATAAGTTTATAAGTTTATATGGTGTATATGGTTTTTAAACTACTTATATGTTTATATGGTTTATATGGTTTTTAAATTACTTATATGTTTATATGGTTTATACGCAGCGGTCTTTTAACGTTCCAGATGAGCGTAAAGGCTTCGTACTTGGGTTGGCCGGGAAAAGATTTAGAGGGTGGAAAAATCTGTTGACGAACACCTATCTTAAGGATGACAAAGGAAAGTGGCTGGAAGAGTTCCCGGCCGGAAGGCCAGAAAAGTATAATCTTTTCATTAAACAAGAAGATTGGACTGAGTTTATTAGACAAAGAGATGACGAATTCCGGCAAAAGAGTGCCAAAAATAGTGAGAGAGCATCAAAGCCCGCGTATCCATACAAAAAAGGGCGTTTGGGATATGCACGCTTAGAGGAAAAAATTGTAAGTAATAAATAGAAATGATATGTTCTTATTAATTGTCTAAATGTGTTGTATTTGACGATCTAACCGTTTGTTTCTATGTATAGTTAGAGGAGACGAAAAGTGATGAAACCTCACTTCCAGCACATTTGCTGTGGAAGGAAGCTCGTGTGGGCAAGAATCAAGCTGTTGATCCAAGTGTTCTAAGAATTTATGATGAATGCGTAAGTATAACATTGTGTCTTTAATTAAATCAAAATTTTATGACTATTTAATTGATTTTTTTATCTCCATTATTTTCAGGAGACATTGTCACAAACGGAGTCCACCGGTGACGACCAGGATACGAGGAGCGTACTTAGTAAAGCACTGAATGTTCCTGAGTATTCCGGTCGGGTGAGGGGTAAAGGTCATGGTGTGACTCCAACCTCTTTCTACCAGCATCCTCGGAAAAGAAATCCTACCAATGCAGAAGTGATGAATGTACTTATGGAATTACAAGCAAAAGTCAATGCATTGGAAAGAGATAAAGAGGTATTAATGAGGGAAAAGGGCAATGCGGCAATGGCGAAAGAAACTAGTGACAACGCTAGTATCAACCGTCAGAATAAATTTCCTGAGGTAATTATAAATATATTGATAAATCTCTATTGTTCAAGTTTCTCATTTTTATTCCACCTCTTTCTATTATTGAATTAAAAGTAATATGTATGCATATTGGTTTAGGGCATTTCATCTTGCCAACTATACGTAATGGCATCAGATTATCACCTTGTTGGCAAGGGAAAAGTGTACAACACTTTGGGAGATTTAATTCATAATACACCGATCCCGGCTGGACACCTGAGAGTATCAGTAGATTATCCTATTGATCCCGATGCGTTGGTACCGGTGTTTACCTTGGGTTTTGGTAAACAACCGCTGATCCTCCAAATGGTTACTTATTTGGTTACTCGCAGGATCGATCAGATTGATCCTATGGACATAGGTTGATTTTGAAGTTTGATTAAGGTGGATAAGGCTTTAAATAAAATGTTTCAAGTAAATTGCATAAAAGGAAAGACTTGGTAAAATAAACAAGGCTTTAAAGTAAAGGTTCGACAGGAATTTAAAGGAGAAAAGCAAGTAAAATGCTGGGAAAGTAAATGACTTTAATTGATAAAATTGGTGTTTCACACATACATTTCTCAACAATTCTTTCTCACACGTTGGGTACTTGAATCTAAATGAGTGACTATGTATAGAATTGTGAACACACGCGAGAAACTACATGTCTACTCCTATTTATACTAAAACATTCCAAGTAACCGTCGGGCAGTTACACTGCTTCGAGATCAAGCCACTTGGCACGTTCTCCATGCTCGACGCTCCAGATCCTTGCACGTTTGCACGTAGTGACTGCTGGAAACCGTTTTCCCTCCAAAGCTTTGAATTTCAAACTGCTCCACTCTGGACCATCGAACACTTTCATCAAGAGACGTCTTCGACGAAAACTCCTTCGACGTCGAAGGCAATCAGCCTTCTTCCTTGGAAGAAATCTTCTAAGTATTTTGCCATCTTTCGACGGGCACTTCGACAGACTCAGCCAGTCGAAAGCATCTTTCAGCTTTTAATGGCTGACATAGATCAAAGCATAGGTGTCGAATTTAGGAGCCAACAAATTGCCCCCCAAGAATGCCTTATTTCGACTCTGAAAGAAAAAGGCATTCTTTGAAAACGCCATTCGACACCTGTTTTTCCACGCTTAGTCACAAGTTCACTTGTGCACTTTTTGTTGCTTTTTACCAACTATTGGCAATCCCAAGAAACCATCATTGATTTGATCCTAGGACGTCACTTTCAGTACGGCGTGCAGTACCAAACGTCACTTCAGAATTTGTCATTATGACAAATTCTCAAAAACGAGGACGCACGCTGCGTCTCTCTGTTTCTGCAGAAACGGCCAAAACAACAGGATGCTGCCACGCGTCCCACTAATTCCTGCAGCATTAAATGACATTTAATGTCCTCGTTATTGGGGATTTCTCCCACTACTATAAATAGTAGTGAATATCCCATTGTGGGACTTTTTACGCAAACCAACCTTCAAACTTCCTTGTTTTCGTACAAGCTTGCTCTCTTTGCAGAAAACTCTTCCTCTTCACTTCATCTTCATCCTCAACAATGGCCTCTGCTTCTACTGCTCCCAAGGCTAACGCACCAACTGAACAACATGTTAAACCCAAGGTCTTTGTTACTGCTCCAGTAGTGAACTCTACAGGGAAATGAAGGGTTCCTGAACCTTCTGACATCTCCGTTCGCGATGCTTATTCGCGCCACTTGATGATCCCGGTTGGATACTCCAACCAGATCTTCGCAATGTCTGGCCCCATGAATCCTAGCATCTCTGAAGCTCTGAAGATCAAGAGCTATTTCCCAATCGTCGAGAAACTCAAGCCAGTAGCATGCGCCA